GCGCCCCGTGGACACCCCCGCCAGGCCTGTGCCTGTCCACGCCGCTTCTCAGGGCGGCGTGCTGGCCGACGCGCACGCCCAGGGCCCTGCGTCGCGAGCGGAAACAACACGCCGGCCGAGGCCTGGGGGAAAACGGAGCTCCAGATGGCCACCAACCGTATCAGAAGTCCAGAGCTGTCCGGCCGACTTCTCGTGTGATGCGAAATACCTGGTTCTGGGCCGATCCCGGGGAAGGACGCAGCCCAGCACCTGCCTGCGGAAAGGCTGTTGCGGCTCGCCGACATCGTGGCTCTCACGTGTTAGACCGCACAACAGAACTGAGCCGGCGGCCGGACGACGGCGGCCGCGAGCCCCTCCGGCCAGGCCGGACACATCTGGATCGCATTCGCAGCGCTAGGAGAGTGGCCGTTGGAAGTGACCAGCCAGCTGACCGCCTTGCCCTCTCTGTGTGGCATCTATCCCGAAGGTTGCACGCCGCTCATCTGTTTTTGTATAAATCTCAAGTATGGTGTTTATTCCACATGTCCATGTGGTAAAGCGATCAGGGAAAACATTCTCAGCCCTGAGCGTCCCCTGCCCCGTTTTAAAGGAAACCCCAAGTGCAGTAAATTCCCGCTAATTGGGAGCTCTAGGAAGGGTTAAAACATTACCCCTTACGAGTCGGGTGGTCATTATAAATGTTACCCAAATAAAAGCCAGAACAGGAAACCAAAAAGCAGGTCCCCAAGGCAGGCATGTGTCTTAAATGATATCATTTGTCAAGTTTCCAGCGTCTCGTGGCGGAGGCCTGTGTTACACGGAGAATATCACATCCTCATTAGCTGGGAGGTTCCGTAAGTGCATAACGTGGGATTTTCGTTTTAATAAGAAGCAGCTACTTGTCACTGCACTTTCACTAGATAAATACCGAATGTGATGCTGAGGGCCATTTAGAGAGGCTCCGTCCTACTCCCGAGAAACTCCATCCAGATGGAATCAAATAACAGCAATTTATGGGCCAGGGCCCGTAGAACTTCCGTGTCTTTCTCTCCGGAAGGTCCCCAAAGTGTGGGTTTGTTTTAATGCCGACTTCGGTCAACAACAGAACCTCGAGGGGACCCCAGATGACACAGCTGCTATTCTCTGCAGGCCAAACCAATCTGGAAGCCTAGCCTGGGCTTTTTGGGAGCAGCAGGTCGTGGCAGGAAGAGTGGAGAACCCCCCGCACCCTCCCCCCACTTCCTTGTCACACTGAGCCCAGCGACCCTGGCCGCCGCCCTCGAGGCTGGGGCTGGTGCAGACCGCCCCAGGGCCCCAGCCCCGCTCCTCCCGCCCTCCGGTCTCTGCACGGAGTCCTCACCCCTGCGTCCTGGGTGCGCGCCTCGGGCCGTGCGGAGCCCTGCAGGACTCGGGTGTGGGGTGGCCACGGGGCCTCACCCCGAGGCTGGTCTGGAGAGGGGGCCCCAGAAGGTGAGCGAATGCTGGACTCTGACCCCCCCTGCACACAGCGTTTCCCAGAAGCAAAAGAGCGTTTAACCGTACCTTGGCTACGTCTGAGCGCCGTCTGCAGCAGTCTGCACGCCGAGGGCCGCGCAGGCTCCAGGTGGCGTCCCCCTTTCGCCTGGCACTCGGGATTTCCTATCTGGTTGAATTCAGTACATTCCTTCCAAACACCGTAAATTTCTGTTCTGCACCTTAAGGGAACCAGCCGTTAACATGTTGGCTTTCATCTTTATTACCCGCCCGTTACAAGGAGAGAGGTGGGGACGCACTTGGCTCCAGGGCGACAGAGGCGGCCTCGCTCCCGGCCTCCAGAGGCAGGGCTCGCCGTCCGCCTGGCCGTCCGCCTGGGCTCCACCCCGGCCCCCGCGCTGACCGCCCCCGGAAACGGCCCTCCCAGCGCGGCTCCGGGCACCCGCCGCCCTTTGTCTGCGGGGAGCAGCCCTTGTCCTCTCCGGCTGTGGGGCCGCAGGGCAGAGGCCGCTGGCCGCCGCCTGTCCCTGCGCCGGTAGCCCTCGGCTCTAATGAGGACACAAAGAGCCCCGCGCCGCAACGCCGCCGTCCCCATAACTCACAGCCCGGCGGCGCGGTGGCCTCTGAGGCGATTTGTCTCTAGTGCGGTGGTGACACTTCGGCATGGTCCATAATTTGGCAGCTATTTACCGTGACATTTCCCTTCAGTGCGGCCATAACATTCAGTGAAGCCATTATTTGGCTCCATTTACCATATAAATTGTATTGTTGTGCGTGCATGCTAGCAGCTACATTAGGCACCTGAAAATGAGCCATCTCGAGAAATAGATGCTCACGCCCGCGCCCGGCTCTCCCGGCCCCCGGCGCCAGGGCAGGGAAACTGAGGAAGCCCGGGCTCCCCCTCCCTCCCCCGTGTTATTGGGGCCGGTCGCCGGCTGGGCCCCGGGGAGGGGGCGTCTGGGCCGGGCGCGGCCTCGGGCCGCGGCGACGACCCGCCTGCCATCCTACCGGCAGCGACGCGGGGACAGCGGCTGGGGTCCCGTCTGCGGTCAGTGCCCCAGCCCCCACTTCAGCGACCTGCCGCTCTGGCCCAGGAAGCGGGTGTCGGGGACCCCTGATCGCTGTCCCCCCCCCCCAGAGCGCTTCACTGCCAGGGTGACGTTTCGGGGCGAGCGCACCAGTCGAACACGCGCTCGCCCCTTCCTGGGCAGGGCCGCGCCCTGACGCCGCCCCCCACTGTGCTGGCTCTCCCAAGCCGGCACCTCTGCCCGGGGGCGGAGCGGCCTGTCCTGCGGACACCAGTCACGGGGACGGCTGACTGTGACACAGGCCTGCGTTCACTCGGTCGTCTTCCTAATCATCGAATAAAACCAAGGCTTTGGGCACTGACTGCCTCCAACTTCTACTGAGGTAGCTGAGCTGCCGGCCTCGGGAGGGGCGTGGCACGAGGTGTGAACTCGGGGCACAGGCACCTGGCTGCGTTGCCCATGTGCCGACCACTTAGTAGCACAGGGCCAGACTCTCCCCAAACAAAGAGTCTGCGAACTGTTTTCAGGACCGATGTTAAAACCTCATCCAGCTGAAGACATACTGATTTCATCAGATCTTGCATAAGGAATTAATTTGGTTTCCTAGAACAATAAAATCTGGAATGAGACTGTCCTGACTGAAGCATCGAATGTAAAGGTTTTACCTCCGAGCCACGGGGGGAAATTTTAGTAGCACGTTGTTTTCCAGGGAAAAGGCCAAACAGCAACCAGAAAAGCAAAGAAAAAGAGAAACCCTATTCATTCACACTTTACTTTTGTTTTAAGAAATATTATACCCATTAGCAACTAAAAATAAATGGATTTGAGTAATTCTGCGCATAAAGTGCCCATTCTCTTTCTCCCTTGATTTATGTCATTGTTCTGTTTTTACAGCTTGCTGTTGACAGGATGAAGTAATTCCACGACGATTTTCCCAGTGTTTTTTCCCACGTACATATAATCGACAGCCCGGAAGACGGACTCCAGGCCCGTGAACCTGCCCTGGGCGGACGCGTGTCCGAGGTCCACCGCGCAGGCCAGCTCTCCCAGCTCGCACATCCGCAGCAAGTGCTCCATGGCCGCGCGGTGCTTGGAAAGGTAGTGGCTCAAGAAGAAGCCCTGGACGCTGGCCGATTTCTTCAGCAGTTTGGCCGGCAGGGCCCCGGCCTTCACTGGAGTGAGGCCCGCAGGAGTCTGGTAGCCAGAGATAAAGCCGATGACCAGCAGGCGCCCGTGGGTGGCCAAGGCGTCCACGGCCAGGTCAAACATGGCCCCCCCCACGGACTCGTAGACCACGTCCACTCCCTGGGGGTACTCGCGCTGCAGGACGGCCCCCACGGGCTCCAGGCTGTAGTTGATGGGGCGATCGCAGCCCACGGACCTCAGGAAAGCCACCTTCCGCTCCGAGGAGCAGGTGCCGATGACGTGGCACTTGGCCTTCTTGGCCAGCTGCACGGCGAACTGGCCGGTGCCCCCGGCTGCTGCCGTCACCAAGACCTTCTTGCCTTCCGACAGGGCCGCCAGCTCACGCAGGCTGAGGTAGGCCGTGGTGCCGCTCACCAGCAGGGTGAGATACTCAGGCTTCACCGAGGGCACCGGCGTGGCCGCGGGGGCGGGCACCACTGTGTACTCGGCGAAGGCCCCGGGCGCCATGTAGGCCACCGCCTGGCCCACGGTGTACTCGGCGCTGGCGGAGAGGCCCAGGGCCACCACCTCCCCCACGCCTTCGAAGCCCACGTCAAAGGGGGGCTTGACCGAGGGGTCGTAGCGGCCAGCAGAATAGTTGATGTCTGACGCGTTCACCCCGACAAACCTGGAGGGAAACAGACCAACAGACACCGGTTAGGACGTTTCCCTGGCCGGGCTTTCTGCTACACTGAGAAAAAACCCTCAGGCCGCACTGTGGCGTCACGCCCTCGACAGAGCCGGAGAAAGTCGGGCCTGCGACTCAGTCAGAGATGGAGCAGACACCAGCTCGGCGGGAAATGCAATCCGAGATCTGGAATGTTCTCATCTTAAATCTATGGCCCTAAACATCAACTTGCTCCTTCACACCGCACGTGTCTCCTTCCAGAGGAGAAATAAAGCAAAACCAAAAAAAAAAAAAAATAAAAGGCCTCATTATATACAAACTTCATGGGAGCTGGGAGCTGGAAATTAATTGGCCTCTTAACAAAGATGTTAAAAAACAACAGCGGCTAAGATATAGTCAAAGAAGACTCGTATTGATTCTGGCAACAATTTAACACTTCGGATAATAACAGTAATGACAACGACAATATTGGAGACTGACTGATGTAACGAGCAAGGTCGTGGCTGTCGTGCGTTCCTGGGGGCGCCTGCAACGCCGTCGGGGGGCCGAGGCCGTCTCCCTCTGATGCAACGACGACCGCGTGCAAATATGCATTTTGATTAATCGACCAAAAATTGTCTCAGAAGGGGAGGGAGGTTTTTTATGAAACGCTCAGCATTTTACAGTCCTCCTCAGATGAAAAGGAAGGGAGCCAGCACTCTATTTCCCCCAACAAGAAGCAGAGACGTGACTTGATTAATGCCAGATGACTATTTTCGCTTTGGTGTCCAGAGTCCATTTAATTGCGAGGCGAGTGTTCTTACCAGCTTTTTTCATCTCGGTATAGCTCAGAACAAAAACATCCTGCTACGTCAGGGGAGCGCCGCCCTCACGGTGCGTGGGGGGATCCGGCGACCGTGGACACCCGCCGCTGTCACCGCCCCTGCCGTGGACTGGCCCGTGTGGGTGGCCGGTGGCCGGAGAGCCAGCGCGTGGGTCATTTTCAAGTAATTCACTTTCAGTTCACTTGAAGCGCCGTGCCAGCCGCTCCCACGGCCCGTGCGGCCCTGACCCACGGCGCAGACACCCTGCAGAAGGGAGACGCAGAAGACGATTCCTTTCGGTCCTGTCAGCTGCCTTCAGAAGTCCCGCCACGGCCCGCTAACAGCTCGGGATCCCGGGCCACACGCAGATGCACAGTAATGGGGGCGCGGGTTCACTTTCTGGGCGCTTCTCGTCCGACGTGGGACAGCAAGATGGCCGCATCCCACTGGCCGGCGGCGAGCGCGCTCCTCCCCCGGGAAGCCGCGACCGAGGCGTGTCCACGAGGCCGCGTCTGGGGGCCTGTTCCGGACGGCGCCGGAGGCCGGGTGTAGGGCACGCGGCTCCCAGCCCTGCCGGGGCCCTCCCCTGGTCCCCCCGAGTGTCTGCCGCCCCATGCCGAGAGGGAGGCCACTCCCCAGGGTGAGCCCCCTCTGGGCTCCCTGGGCGCCTGCCCACCCCCACCCCTGGGGACTGATGGCAGGAAAGGACACAGGGGAGCCCCCAGCCCCCTCTTCCCAGCCCTGGGCTGCTGCTGTGCTTCCAGGGGATGGCAGCAGCAGGCTGGGCACACTTCTGGGGAGAGGGCACAGGTTTCGGGGGCGCAAGGGCCCCTGGGGGCGGGGCTCTGCCCAGAGCTGGGCAGCTGTGCTGGGCCTCTGCAGCCTGCTTGTCCACTGGGCGTGGGTTTGCCTTTAAAAACCAAATCAAACGACCAGCGCCCCGAGGCCGTCTCCCTGGCTCCCCTTGGCCCTCGGGGCAGCCCAGTAGCCAATGCCTCGGCCTGAGGCTCAGAGGTGCGGGCCTTGGCACCGACCTTGGCAGCGACCTTGGCCTTCCGTAGGGCAGGGCAGGGCAGGGGAGGTCGGGCTGCCCCCAGGCCCCAGATCTCAGCATGGACTCAGAGTCAGTCAAGTTCTTGGCAGCTGGAACTGAGCTGGAGCAGAGGCCAGAGGCCGCCCCCGGGGCCGCAGTGCCCAGGGCCTCCCCTCACCCTTTTCACCCACTACCCACGGATGCCTCCTCTCCAAGGGGTGTCAGGCTGGTGCTGCCGCCAGGCTGCTCGGCTCGGCGCGCCCAGGCAGGGTGTAAGGCCGCAGCCTCCCAGTCCCCCTCTGGGCCGGAAGGGTGGCGAGGCTCCAGCTGCCCTCACTGAGGAAACAAGTTCTGGGGTCTGGCAGAGGCCCGAGAGTGCAGAGGAAAAGAGAGAGGCCCTGGAGGAGGCAGGCGGCCTGGGGAGCCTAGCTTACAGGGTGCGCAGCAACTCAAAGACAAAAATCCAGGAATTCTAGGAAAAACAACGGGCTAGGCGAGCCCCCCCCAACTATGTCGGCCCAGCCCGGGTCACGCGGTTCTTTAAGTAGAAGTGCTGGGCTGTGGTCATGCTGATTGTGAACGGGCAGCCTGGTCGGGCTAGTCACAGAAAGCAAACCTCAAGTTTCCAGTCCCCAAAGCTTGCAACAGTGGGAGATACAGCAAAGGCTTCCGAAGCAGACCTTCCTTTAAAGGAAGGAAACCACCCCCCAAAAGAAGAGCTGGAAGAACGACCCCCCTCGGTCTGGGGTCCACAGAAACAGTCGCCCTCCTGTGAGCAATAAGCCTTTGATGGAAAAATGCCTCCCCCACCCCCGCCTCCCCCCATTCCTACAAACTCTGCTCCCTTATCTTACGCTTGGGCACAAATTGGCTAGAAATATTTGGCAAGGAAGTAATGTGTCGCACCTTAAGGAAAAAGCTAAAAATAGCGGCAAACCGACTTGGGGGAGGGTTGTCTCCCCTTCGCTTCTGAATGCTGGGCACCTCCAGAGGCAGGCTGCCTGGTGTGCGGGCGGGAGCCTGAGAAAGGGACGCAGTGACTCCTTCCTGGGGATCCCACTCACCCCTCTCCTCCTTCCTAAAGGCTAACGTGATGACCCTAAGTGGCTGTGCCTTGGCTTCCCTAAGCAAGACTGGTATTTCCCGGTGAGAGGGAATGCGAATGCGATGTGCACCTCTCATTGAAAGAAAAAGTCAGAGGCGCAGTTAAATGCCCCCCAACACCAAGCACAGTTAAATTCCACCCCAAACCTCTGCAAACCAGGGAATCCTGGCCCAGCCTCCCCCTCCCAGCGTATTTTACTACTATGAAGACCGAAGCGCCTGCTTCCTGCTCCTGGTTTCAGGCAGTCAGCCCTGGCCAGGGAGAGCTGCTCCCGGGTTAAAGCTGCGGTGAATTATTCATCCTCTATTCTTAAAAAAAACCAGTACAGTGCCCCCTCCTCTAGGAAACAAGGATCAACCTGGGAGCTGGAGGAGGATTTTCCAAGGAGCGGGAGCCAGGAGGCAAGATGGGCCTCCCAGCACACACTGGCTGCCTCTCGGCCGGCTCAGGGACAAGGTCGAGGTCAACTTCGCAGAGCTGCTAGTTCCGTTGAAGAAAGGGATTGCTGGCACGCGTGCAGGAACGCGCCGCCCCGGAGCGCCCCACTCACAGCTACAAGTGTGGGAGCCGCACAGGCCGGTCTGTCACCGCCCCGCCACGGGGTGCGGCAGCCAGCAGCACCAGGAGAGGGGCACAGGAAGAGCCCCCCCAGCGGGGCTCGGCAGGAGGCCCGGGACCGGCTGCGGGTGTGGGGCAGGCTCCCGGCGAGCCTCCTTCCCTAGGTCCTCTGCAGAGGGCCTCGGCCAGCCCAGCCCTCCCTCCGCGGGCTTCAGAGAGGGGCCCCACCCGCAGCTGCCTTTGCTCCCCTCCAGGGCGCACTCCCTCCGCAAGAGAAGGGAGGCAAGCCGGGGGAGCTTTCCTTCTGTCAAAGTTTGGAGGTGCTGGGGGCGCTCAGCCTGCCTTTGGCCTGCGCGGGTCACACGCCTTTTCCGCGTGGTGCGTGGACACCCGAGTCCTGACTCTCGGGAGCTGTAGCCTGTCCCACTGCGGACACCCTCAGCGGCCCTGGCTTGGTGAAGTTTAAGAATCTGCAGCAGCTCCCAGACTAAGGAGCCCTCCCCGACCCCCCATCGCTCCACTCCAGCACCCCCACCACTGTAGGCTTCCAACAGCGGCCCCAAGGTTTCCACCTGGCGGGGAGCTCTCTGTTTCTGTCCCCAGCTGATGACAGCTGCCTGTAGCTGCTGGGTTGGGCACACTTGGTCCCCCCTCCTGTCCTGATGGGAACTTGGAGAACTTTCCAGCACGAGATTTCTAACATAGTTACAATCTGAGCCTACTCCTGCCGGCCATGGGATCCCCAAACATGCAACCCTAGGGTGGGAATTAGGAGGCTCCGGGCCCTCAGTCCAGCTCCAGCGAAGTGGCGGCGTGGGGACTCAGGGCAGAGGGCAGAGGGCGGCCAGTGAGTGCCGGCTCCTGCTGCTTCCCCAGGGAGAAGGCGGTGGGGTAGGAGCCAGAAGGTGGGTCGCGTGGGGTGCCCTGGACAGGCTAGGCGATGACCCGAGTGGGATGGAACGAGGGATGTGCCGGCAAACGCAGCCAGACCCTTGCCCACCCGGCCCAGCCGCCCACTCGCGCGCCTGGCGCCTGCCGTGGCAGTCCGAGGTGGACATCAGCCCCGGCACCCACACCTGGTCACCATGCCCGAGGGGCACACCGACGCCCTCCACCGCGGGCTCCTCCCCACCCGACCTGCAGCTGCCGGCCTGGCGCGGCCTGAGAAGCCACGGGGCCGCCGCCTCTTTCCAGGGCGGTCACCTAAGCGTCGCCGTGTGTCCGTCTGTCCCCGCTCCCCCCGGAGACTGCGTGGGCGCCGGGTCCCGGGCGCGCGCGGGAGGGCCGCGCGGGGAGCCTCGCGGCCCGGTCCCGTCGTTTTATTTCGGGGAGGGTCGGGGGAGGGGAGCCCCAAGTCAAAACGCCTCCAGTGCTGGCTGAGGGCGTCCGGCGGCCTCGGCTACTCGGCGGCGCCGCAGTCTCAGCACCTTCGCCTTCGGCAGATGGCGGCGGGTGCAGCTGCCCGCGCTGGCGCCCGGTCGGGCTGGCGTCCAGGCGCGG